TTGCTTTCAGTTTAAGAAAATAGCATGGAAGGGCATATTGGTAATAAGAATTCCAGTTGTGGTGGCAGAAGTAAGAGGTGGCTGGCCACACCGTATCCACAGTCAGCAAGTACAGAGGAGACCACTGAGTCTCCTCTTTTCCTTTCTATTCTGTCTGGTATCCCAGACCATGGTATGGAGGCACTAGCATTCTCTGGTAACCTCCTCAAAGACTTGCTCAGAAGTGTGTCTTCTGATGGATAGAGATCTAGTCCAGTGGCCAAAAAGGATAGACCATCAATCACACTTGTTAATTTGAAGAAAATGTAGCAGAGCATGAGAACAGTTGTCAGAACAGACTATAGGAGAGATTCCTGAGAAGCAATGGCATGAGAGTTAGTGCTTAGTGCTGAGTTAGTGGGAAGTCACACGACGCAGAGGCCTGGCCTGGCCTTTGTCCTTTATGTCAGGCTCTGGAGCTACTGAAAACATAGGAAGTGTACAAAGGAAACCTGGGCAATCTTGACTACATAGGTGATTTCTGTCATCTTAACCAGCTGTTTATTTTTTATTTCACAATATATAAAACAATATACTAATAGCATTAAAACTGGAAGAGCCCTTAAAAGTATTTTATCCCAGTAATTTTTATCATTTAAATGAAGAAAATTAAACTACAACAAGTCAAATCCACCCATTGACTTAGTTCCAGAGTTGTGGAATTTTAAGATTGGAGCCCCAAGCTTCTTATTCATATTTATATAGGCTGATGAGATAACCAAGCCCAGGGCCGAGGCCACATCTTTAAATGCAATCAGAAGCTGTGGAAAGGAAATGGTCTGGTTTATAGCTTGGAAGATGAATTCTGCTCTGTGAAGGATGATCTGGGACAGGGCAGGAATAGTTGAGTTCAGAAGCAGTTGCATTCATCCAGGGGTGAAGTGATTACATCTGAGACAGAGGGACAACAGTGAGATGCAGCTCTATTTTAGGGTGAATGATATGCACAGCTTGATGGATTGAGTGTAGCAAATAAAAACATAAGACACTTTGAGGCCCAGGTCCCCAGGAAAGGTAAATAGGTAAATAGGTAAATAATTAAAGTTTCTGAGATCAAAGTGTAGAGCTGAAATAGGACTGGAGGTTTAGTGACTCGGGGTAGAGGGACAGTGGGGAGAATGTTGGGGTTAAATGAAATTTTCTGTCATTTATTCTTATACCAACTTCCCCAGGTCCCTAAAGTATAATCCACTTCCATCGATGCTACTGTGTACCTCACATCAGTTCTTGACCCCAAATGCTTCCTTATAAAAGGGACAATATTCGTTATCTTTCTGTTGCTTTGCCAAGATTCCCAAGATATTCATGTTCAATTTGTAAAGAGAGTTTTATTTTAGCTCATGGTTTTAGAATTTTCTTTCTGTAGTTGTTTGACTTCATCTTTTTTGGTCTATGGTGGCACAGTACCTTAAACTAGGGACACATGAGGGAGGAAGTTTGCTCACATCATGGCAAGTGGAAGGAGAGTGTCTAGTGTCTTGGCATTCTCTTCAAAGGTAAGACTCAACATCCAGAGATCCTCCTTCTAAGAAATTCCACCACCTTCTGGTACTTTATAGTCCATAGAGCAAGCCTTTAAGATATAGAACTTTGGGAAAAATTTAAGATCCTAGAAGTATATTCTATGACCAACTCTGATTAGTCAACTGCTTTATGAAGATAAGGTAGGAAATAAGTTCTAATTCTGTTTGCCTCTTCTCCTATAAGAATAGGATTACAAATCCTAAGCTTTGTTTTACCAATCTAGAGGGCCTTAAGTTTCATCTGCTTGGAGAGAAAAGGTAAAGAGATGTGTTCAAAGGATGCACTGAAGTAGGCATGAGATGGAAGGACATTTCTGCCAGGTATTCCATTATATGAGTTCTCAATTCACAACCATTTCTTATCACTTCTGTGTTCTGGGCCCTATCTTGAGTACTGGGAGTATTGCAGGGAAGAAAACTAAGTTCTTGCATTTGTGAAAGCTACATTCTAGAGCACTGGTTATTTAAATACCATATTCAAAACAAAACAAAAACAGAACAAAGCAAAACAAAATGAAACAACAGCAAACAATTCATCGCATCTTTCAGGAGCAGAAAGTCAGGCACACTATGCACTGCCTGCTATGCCATGTGCATTTTCCACTTGTATTTTCTGTGCTGTGTCTTTCACTCAGCCACATTCTCTGGTTCTCTTAAGCAACATCATCTGCTCTGTCAGGATTGATTTTCAGAGCAGGATTGTGCTAGCTTGCATCTTGTTTTGATTGGCTGGTACCTGTCATGATTTCACTCTGATTACCATTCGGCCCTTCCAGATATCTCTTGAACCTTCCATCTCATTGTCAAGTCTTTGCAGTTGTCATTTTTATTTAAAACTAATTATACTCACAGGTTTATAACACTGCTTCCACAGAGCTATAGACTTTCCTCTGATACCTGGTAAATATTTCTGTAATTTTTAATTTCCTTTTGCTTTTTCTCCCACAATTGATTATGGTAAGCCTTTTGTCTAGGAAGGCACTACACACACCTGGAGACATGGGCTTTTGTTGTGTGTCTGTTGTGTAAAGTGGACAGGGGCACAGTTTCTTGATGCCCTGTGGTATTGTTTGCCTCTCTCAGTAGTCTTGCCATCTGTAGCTGCCTTTCACCCATCTCCTGGCTCGCTTTGCCCCATATTCTTTGGTTTTGTGGGGGCATTGCCGTGAAAGCACCCCATCAGATGCTTAGTGAGTTTCTGCATTAAAAGAATAGTGGCATATCTTTCTTTCCAGACCTTTTAATATATGATGATACCCCTGGCACACTGAATTAAGGCGAAGCAACAAGCAGCCCCAAAGGCATCCATTTCTGTAGAGATAAAAATAAGAAAATGACAGAGTGTAAATCAATTTAAATTTTCTCTTATATTGAAATATGAGAAACAATAGTTAGTCAAACTTGAAGACAAGGCTGTTACTTTCTAAGGGAGCTACCGTGTTTGAATTTACTAAGGTTTACTCATAGGACTAGGCAGACCTGAGACATAGTCTGTGTTCTTGCCTCCATTATAATTCTGAGAATTGGAGAAATAGATTTTCTAGAATTCTGGATTTTAAATATGTGATTGTAGTGGTTTCTTTCTCTGCGTAGGAGTCAAGGACATTTTTTATACCTCTTTATCTGAGCACATGTGACTCTAGTTGTGACTTTCATTGGGCAGAGTTTAAGCTTATTCTCACAATCCCGAAAGTATTGAACTCTTCTTCATAGCTTTTTGGATGGATCAGCCAACTGAACAGTTATGCAAAGTCTAGACTAAGGTGCTCTGTGGGTCCCTGCCAGGCACGTAATATTCTTGTTTATAATCATGCAGCCACTGAGTGCACTGTCTCCACCAGTCAAAGTGATCATGTAGCTGTAGAGACATGCAATGCATTGTGCAGAACGCTTCGAAAGGAATGTGGTGTTAAATGCAGGAGGGAGAGCTCAGCTCAGTCCATGTGTCAGTCTTTGAGCATCCCCAGAATCTGGAACGCTGGACTAGAAAGCACTGTGCTAAGGTTCAAGGCATAGGTGAACATAAATTGAAATTCTAGATTCTGTTCCAGATTGATAGGTTCTTTAAAACTTCCCAGGTCATTTTGATAGCCGTTCAGAGTAGAGGACGAGCAGTGTATGATTTCTAGTATTTTTAGTATAATATTGTTTTCAAGGTGCATGGAGTCTGTGTAGGGTTGTTCGACTTTCAGACATACTTCTCCTATTGTTAGCTCCTTACACAGATAAAATAGACAGCAACAGCTATGATATTTAAAGCAGAGATTAGTGACTGAGACTAGACAGATCATGAAGCAGATGGGAACAAAACCCCAGGCATTTTTTAAGTTGAAGATAAACACAAATCTAAGCTCAGAGCTGAGATGTGTAAGGCGTGTGCTAGGTATGAGTTGGATATTAATAAGAAAGTAATAAAGTTAAGTGAGCTCTCTCTCATAGGGTCTCAAGATAGAATATTTGAATTTGAGTTCTTTTATGCTGCAAAATAGCTGTACATGGACAATTGATTTAATTTCTCCATATTTTTATTTTCAGGTCTACCAAATGTGAGGCAGTAGCTCTAGCAGGTTGCTCAGCTCTGGTACTATAAATGACATGTCTGAGCAAGTTCAGTTTATAAAGAGGTTCATTTAACTCAGTTTTAGAGGTGCAAGAGCATGGTGCTTGCTTTGTCCCAGCTTCAGCGGGGAAGCTCATGGCCTAATTCCTTATAGTGGGAGCCCATAAGAAAGTGAGCAGTTTTCTCAGAAGCAGGAAGACAGAGGAACTAGGGTAGCCCAACCTATTCTGATTGCATTCTCCAGGTGACTTGAAGACTTTGCACTAGTTCTTAAGTCTTTGACACTATCATTGGCATACTAAGGGCCATACTTCCAACATGGGAACCTTTAGGAAAAATTTAAAGACATCCAAACCCTTTTAAAGCTGTTTGGGACCCATAAGGTAGAATGTATGCAAATACTCCATACACTAGATTCCTAGCCCTCAAAGAAAAGACGTTGAAAGCTTTAGATCATGGGGCTGGAGAGATGGCTCAGTGGTTAAGAGCACTGGCTGCTCTTCCAGAGGAACTGGGTTCAGTTCCACATGGCAGCTCAGACTCATCTGTAATTCCAGTTTCAGGGCTTCTGATAACCTCATATGCATGCATACATACATGCAGACAAAACACTAATGACCATAAGATAATAACACACACACACATGTCACATATCTATGTATATCTATGTCACATATCTGTGTATATCTATGTTACATATATGTGTATATGTAATATATATACTACATATAATATATATAATGTATATTATATATATAATCTATCCCCAGAAATTTTTAGATCAGGTGTATGTAATATAAGTGTTATTCTTTATATTTATGTATGAATAAATGAAATAGATAACATAAGTGATCATCACATCTTTATCACTCATAAACAGTGGTGTTCAACATTCAAAAAGGATAATCCCACCTGCCCATCATGGCAACTGCAGCAGCTCTACCTGAAGGAGTAGGTGAGTACCCATGTTACCTAATCAATGTGCAGTTCAAGACATTGTAATTGTTTTGAAGAGTCTTTTCCTCTAATCTAATAACTAGCAGTACAAACCATGGGTAAAGCAGGACTTTTGGCAATGTGGTCACTCTCCAAACAGACAAGGCCTGACACACGTTATTTACTAGTCATGTGCGGCTACCCACTGCTTGAAACATGGCTGGCATAGCCAAGAGTGCCTGTAACTAACAACTGTTCATTTTTATGTTTTAAGAATGTGATCTTTTAGCCGGGCACTGGTGGTGCACTCCTTTAATCCCAGCACTTGGGAGGCAGAGGCAGGCAGATTTCAGGCCAGCCTGGTTTATAGAGTGAGATCCAGGACAGGAGAGCCAGGGATACACAGAGAAAACCTGTCTCAAAAAAAAAAAAAGAAAAGAAAAAGAAAAAAAAAGAAAAAAAAGAATGTGTGAATGTGTCTTTTATGTGCATGCAGCTTTTATTAATTATTTTGGTTTTTACCTGTTAGACATATATTATTTTAGCCAAAGATTATTTCCTTTAAAATAGCACTTAGTAAGAGCTTAAATACACAAAACAGAGTTTGAGCTGCTCTGACTGAGACAAGGAGGGGCTCCATGGCTCAAGAAATTAATGAAGTGCAGATTTAAAGCTACTGCTTGAGTTAGAATTTGTCTCACTGTTATTTCTCTGGAGATGTTTCTGTTTTCAATCTTTTCTCCCATAATGTAATATAAAGCTTTAACTCTTTTAAGTTCAGTCATTGGAGAGCCAGTAAGGGGTAGTTTATGCTATTTTATATTACGGTATACTTTCTACTAAATGCCATGGAGTTTGTTTATAAATTCTTTATAGAAAAATCCACCCCAAGCTCTATAGCATATAGAAAACAGGCACCATTAGTCTCCCATGTGAGCACCTGTAGCAGTGAAAGCAGCACAGCATTTAGTAGGCAGATAATGAATATATGCAGAATTGAGTCCCATTGTGCCTAAGGGTTTAATACTGTTTTATTTTTGACATTTTGAGACAGACTCTTGCTATGTAGCCCAGGCTGGCCTCAAAATCTTTTTGCCTCAGCTTCCCAAATGCTGGGATTCTAGGCATGTGCCAACAGGCTCAGCTTGAGTGTGTCTTTTCCAAACCTTGTGAAGTCAGTCACACACAAGCTAGTAGGGTATTCACTTGGACTGTACATGCAGGGTGGTCTCACCCAACATGACCATAAATCTTTGATTAACTTCTTATAATTTTTTGTGAAGGCTTTCTGGGAAATGAAGTCTAACTGGAAAGGGGTGAAACTTTCTGCATTAGAAAATACAGGTTTTCAAGGCTATGGGACTTCTGGGTACATAAAAGGCTTGTTCAGAGATTATAATTGAGAGATGGCTCATTCCCTGTCATAGTTTCCATGATTAGATTTTCTTTTTGTATCTCAGATCAGAGGCGTCCTGAAGTAACTATGCAGAACCACAAATGGAGTAAGAGAAACATTACACTATTAGCATTCAGCACAGTCTGTATGAGGAATGAGAGTTTTAAAAGGTTAATGTATGACATTATTTTCCATGGCTGCAACTCTTCGAATCAGAGGCACATGCACACACTCTGTCCTTTGGAGCACACACATTCTGTCCCTTGGCACATGCATACATTTTGTCCTTTGGGAGTATCCTTTGCACTCATGTTTCAGGTCAGTTTATTATGACCGTTTCAATCTCTAAAGTTTACTTTATTGTAAAATACTGCCATTGCTTTTAACAATTTCTTACTTATTTTTCTGTTTTAGCAGCACAGAGAATCTCAAAGAATATATTTTCTTGTCCATGGACATATTAACTCATTAATTTTAGATGAAATATGTATAATTAGGCAGCCAATTTAAACTAATTTGGAAGGTTGTTGTTTTCCTATTAAAAAGAATTGATTAATGAAATTACTATGCAAACATGGCTAGGAAAAATTTTCATACAATGATAGCAATACAATATTAATAGTTCAACAGGGAAACTTATGTATCAGGTGTTGTAGCTAAATGATCTGTGAAAGGATCTAAGTCAACTTCTCATGGGTCAGTTTATCCTCTTACTGATACAGATGTGGACTCTTAAGGTATGAATTATGGGCTGGACGCCCCAGGGGGTGGGAGTTTTGAGGGTGGGGAGGTGGGAGTGGGGGGGTAGATAGAGGTTACATCCACAAAGAAGAAGGAGGAGGTGTGAGGGGATTGGGGGTTCCTGGGTGGGTGGGGGATGGGGTAAGGGGACAACATATGAAATGTAAATAAAACATCCAATAAAAAAATTAAAAAAAAAAAAGGTATGAATTATGGGTAAGTTGCTAGGGTCATTCTTATTCAAATCTCTTATGGATATGTTTTCATTTTCTGTAAATGTCTGGAAGTAAAATCACCGGGTCACAGGATAAATGTATTTTAATTTTATAAGGATTCCCATACCTCTTGCTAGTTGTTTATCCCATTCATCCTTAGCTATGGAAACTTTGGCAATTCAACTAACCAGAAGAAGAAAACTGAAGCAGGAAAGGATTCATGACAAAGAGAGAAAAAGCCTTGGAGTCACACTGGAAACCCCACCCACAGTGCCATTTCTTCAGGAAAAAGTGCTCAACTATAGGCCCCCTCAAAGCAGAGTTTTATCTAGTTGCAATTTTATGAAACAGAGTTTTACATTCTGAAGTCTCTGTGAGGACTGCCTTCTAAGAGCTCAGGACTGGTATACTGGCGTGTGCTCTGTCTTCACCAGAGACACGTTTCTGCTAGAACATGTATATGAATCTCAACAAAGATTTTCTTTTTTATTGAAAAGAGAAAAATGCCACCAATGATGGCTTTTAGGTATACACAGACACCCTTGGATACAGGAGGACTGGGATCTGAGTCTGGTCACAACCTAACAGCACTTCCATATATAACAGGGAGGGAAGGAGAAGGGAGGGAGAAGGAGCAAGATGGAACTGGTGAACTTAAAGATTGCTGGGAACAACTTCTGTGCTGTTTATCCCAACAGAATAGCTTTAGTTGCTCCCTTTCTTAACCCAGGACTTTGAAGGCAGACTTCTGTCTGTTTGTGTCTTTTCTGCATTTCAAAGGTCTCCCTGGGCTCCATTTTCTTGCAGTTGATCATAACAGCTCCTGGTGGTCCATGGCTGTGGATAGTAATGACAGGCATGCAGGGGCATTTTTTCTCTAACTCTAAAACACATTATTATTAATGTAAAATTTACATGCCATGAAATGCAGAAATCTTAGGTACAGTCATGCTCTAACACTGCCACAAATGCCTGTTCAACCCAAGTTCCTATTAGGGAATGGAATAGAACCATCAGCTCAGGTGTTTCCTTTATGCCCTTCTTAGGTACTTCTCACTCAACAGAAGATTCATTGTTGCTTTGTTTCAACCAGAAATTGTTACTATCAGTTCTACAACTTCATTTACAGGGAGCCATGCAGTATGCTCTATTTGTGTAGGCTACTTTAACTTGAGATTCTGCTCTGAGACCTACCACTGTGCTGTACACACTCATGGTTTGGCTCTTTTTCTGATGGCTAACAGTTTCATTGTCTAAGTATAAGGCAGCTTGTTTCTCAATTCTCTTATTGATACGTACCTGAGCCTTTTCCAATTTAACCATGAGTAAGTTGCTTTAAGAAATCTTATGCAAATCGCTTACAAACATGTTTTCATTTTCTATAGTAAATATTGGAAGGTCAAATTGCAAGGGTCAGAGTAAATGTATTTTCAGCTTTATAAATATCTCCATACTTTTTCCAAGCTGCATATTCCCTTTTGTATTTGTATTTTTCAAAGCAAACAGGACAGTCACGGTATTCCCAATGCATCAACATTCTACCTTCTCAGTCTTTTTAGTTTTACTAATTCAGGCAGTGTGAAGGTATCTCATATGTTTTCACTTTGAGTAGAGCAAATTCTTTAAAATTGCTTAAACTCTGAATGGATGTAAAAAAAGAGAGAGGAAACCTTGATTTTTAAGACTTATAAAGAACATAGTGTTTTACAGGATTCCTCTGGACAGTTGGAAAGCTAATTTGAATAGGTACTACTTTTAAATTTTATTGAGTCCAGGTAAAGAGGAAGAAGTTGGGAAATATTTATTAATAGCCGGAGCAACTAATTCTAATGGTCATCTTTAAGAACTGATTCTTGGGGCTGGAGAGATGGCTCAGCAGTTACGAGTGGTGGCTGCTTCTCCAGAGGTCCTGAGTTCAATTCCCAGCAACCACATGGTGGCTCACAATCATCTGATGCCCTCTTCTGGTGTTCATGAAGAAAGCTATAGTGTATTCACATTCAGAAAATAAATTTAAAAAGAAAACCGACTTTTTGACTAAAATTTACAGATGATATACAGTGTACATGCCAGAGACTTCATATGTAGCTTTGGTTAGAAGAAATTAATAAATTAAGAAAAATAGAAACGAAGTAAGCACTGTTAATATAATACTTCAGAGCATTAGGCAGGAATATTTCTCATTTCCAGGTTAGTCCTACTGATTTACCAAGGAATTGTATTCTATAATTGTTACTTTATCAACAAGTTATAAGTTAAATGCACTCAAAAATATATACTCACATGCATTAGTAAACAAGGGTAGGAGTTAATATTTTTATGCCCAACATATGCTTTAATGTTTTTATAAGATGATATTCAAAGCATTTTCAAAGCTGATGGATATTTCAAGTTTGTTTTTTTCTTTAGTTTTTCAGGAGTTTAATATTTACATTTAGCTCATTATCCTGACCATTGTAAGTTGGGTTTTCTTTACAAATAGTAGTTATTAAATAAAAGATGTTATATTCATTCTTTTGAATCTAATTGTAAAGATTACTTAGAACGCCCTTGTATAGAGCCCCACAAAATTCACAACTGTCCTCAAAATTTAATTTTCTAACTTCACCACCTTGATTTATGGAAGTATAAGTAATTATTTTAAGCAGTGCCTGGGAGGATGAGGCAGGAGGATTGCAAATTCCAAGCCAGCTTGAGACCTTGTCTCATCAATAAAACAAATACTTCTATTTAAAACAGTGTTTTTGTTTCTATTCTAGGTCCTGTATTAGAAACCACCCAGCAAGATTTTTTGCAAGAAGCAAAATCTCTTATTGCTCAACATTACAAGAGATTAAATGAGGTAGTGCTTTGCATTTTTTTAATGTATTTAATTTAGAAAAAACTGAATAAGGGCTTTTGAATACAGGACTGATAATCACAAAGGCTTTCATGGACACTAATGACACCTTTGGTGACTTTTATAGAAATTGATTCAGATGACACACAAATCATTGTTCAAATGCTTTGAATATATCTATATCTATCTATAAATATATACTATATATATATAGTATTAACACCTTTAAATATATTAAATATGCAATAAATATATAAATATATAGTTATTATATTTATATTTGTTGTATATATAAATATATAAATATAATTTATATTTATAAATATATAGATATAAATATGTATTTATATCTATATATTTATAATATATAAATATATTTATATATTTATTGCATATTTAATATATTTAAATGTGTTAACACTTACTTGGATTTATCATTTTAAGAAAGTATCCCCTTAACTCTGTTTAGACAAAACTAAAATGGAAACTTCACCACAAGACGCACCTCTCCTGTTACCTCAGCCTTACCTGTGTACCTGTGTCTTTTCTCACGTCACTTTGCATTAAAACTCTCTGTTGCAGTCTGTAGTCCCTGGAGTGAAGGCTGTCTTCTCTGAATGCTGCATATCCAACAACAGGCATTGTGCCTGCTTGACAAAAATTTGCTGGATGTCAAGCAGTTGTACAGTCTTAGGAAGGGTGGGAGGGTCCCAGTTAAGGGAAAAGGTTTTGCAGAGAAGGCAGGACATCTGAAGACTGGGCAGCCATTGTGATAAGTGGTAAAGATAATACCACCAAAAGCTTAATGACATCTTGAGTTGTCATCAGTTTGAAGTGACAACAACTTGGCTCTTTGTAACCAGCTCTGTCCATCTGTAGGACAGATATTATATGAACAACTGCACTTTAGAGACTTGGAGCTATGTTAGTCTTCCACTGAATATGTTGCTCAAAATTAAGAAACATGTGATTAAAACATATGAAAAATTATATCCTGTTATCAATGTGACTTTCATGACAGCAAACATCCATATATACTGAGTGATTTCCAGTTTAGTAGAAAAAGATTTGGAAATTTTATAGGCAATTAAGAGTTTTTAGAGGTGGTTAAAATGATTAAACTTAAAAATTATGTAAAAATAGACTCTGAGACTATATTTCTTGAGATTATAATTTAATTATAATTAATTTCTCCCTTCCCTTTTCTTTCATCCCTTGAAATCCTTCCATATTACCCTCCCCACTATCCCTCAAATTCATGCATTCTTTTTAAAAACTAAATACACACACACACACACACACACACACACACACACGCACACGCACACACGCGCGCGCGCACTCACACATTCATATATATTCCTAAATTCCTAAATGTTTAGTCTGAATAATTCTGTCTGCATGTAAGTTTTGGGGGATGGTAGTTTGTGTGCCTATATTTAAAAATATCTCATTTGAGACAGAAGCTACTATTGGACAATTCATTTTTTTTGAAGTGGTTTGTAACATTCATGCTTGGGAACAGCTTTAGAGTGTGGGCTTAATTGATAACCATCATGCATATTACGGTAACTATCTTTTTAGTGAGACACTTTTGAAAATGCAGTCAGCTATGAAATGATTTTATCATGATAAAGTTTATAAATTTGACTATGTAGTTATATTAAAAAATGAATATTAAAATTTTAATTTTTTTTATTTATAGAATAAGGCTCAAGGAACGTCTATAGATGTCTTTAAAAATAAACACCAAAAACCAAAAACTGGCAAATTCATACCTTTTGAGGTTAAGAAAAGTGAAATCCTTAATGTAGTTCAAGAACATCGGTTGGTATTGAGAAGCATTAGCTATCCCAGGGACACTTCCAAATGCACAACTTTAATTGAGGCCTCACAGGAGATTTCCTTCAAGGAGCCGCATGTTTCGAATATAAAAGAGAAGTACCACCCTGTAGATCTTTTTAAAAAAGGTAAGTTTTGAATGGAAGCAAGAAAATTGGGAAAGCAGCACATAGAACAATTTGCTTTTTGAGCACCTGAAATGAAATGTCTGGTTCAAATGGCACCTAGAACTTTGTTTTAGCGGTGAAGGCTGAGGAGGATGGTTCCTGGAGCTTCCAACATTTGGTCCTCTAGCAACTCTAACAAGAGAATCCTAGCAGAGAAGGGGAACCTAGGAACCAGAACTGACTCATGTATTTTCCATCAGCGGCATTGTTTTCTAGTACAGATTATGTGAGAATATTCATTTACTTATGTAAGTTCTATTACTTAAGCTTAAGTTCTATTGATGGGGACAGATAGGGCAGGCAACCTCTTTTTAAGGATGTTTCTCCAGCTCCCTAAACAGAAGTCCCAGGCTGTAGAGATTTCTACAGGGCAAACATTAGTAAAAACACATTCTTTATTAGAAGTGTAGAAGGGGGAAGCCTCAGTTCCATTTAAGCAAAGTTGATACTGTTTGATTTGTAGTAACAGCTTAAACAAAGGACCTCATAACACATTTGTAGATATTAGAGTAGTCAAAGGCTTAGGTATTTCTAAAATATTCCATAAGTCATTCATCTGTTTATAGTTCTTTCTTTCAGCAAAGATTGTTCTTTCTGTGTCAGACACTGTTTAGAACTGGGGAAACAAAAGTTTAAAAAGATCCATAGATCAATGTTAGGTATAAATAGAGTAATTTCTTATCCCGCTGCATGACAATTGCTGAACTAGAAGTAAAAGAAAAGTACATGTGAACACTAATTACTAACATACTAAAGACCAGAATGAAGATTTATCAGCAAAGATATCACTAGAAATAGGATTTTAAGACATTTCTTTAGAGTTAGGAGCAGAGAGAAGCCACATTGAACTAGTATTCAATGAAAAAAAATGTAAGAAAAATGTCTCAATCCTCAAAAGGGTGAAAGATGATAATATCTATAAGAAAACAAAACTGGGAGGAGAGATAGGGCTGGACTTTTGAGGCACTGAAGCAGCCTAGGGTTTGATTCTATGTTTTTAGCAGATAAGAACAGAGAAAATCAAATAACAACAATGTCTTAGTCAGTGTTGTATTGCTGAGAAGAGACACCATGACTATAACTCTTTTAAAGAAAAACATTTAATTGGGACTGGCTTATAGTTTCATAGTTTAGTCTATTATCATCATGGTAGGAAGCATGGTGGCATGCAGGCAGACATGGTGGTTGAGAGGTAGCTGTGAGTTTTACATTTGGATCCACAGACAGTAGAAACACCTGGATTAAGCTTCTGAAACCCCAAAGCTCATACCTTACTGACAAACCTCCTCCAAAATAGCCACACCTCCTCAAACAAAGCTACACCTCCTCAAACAGAGCCACACCTCCTAAAAGTGTCACTTTTTGTGTGCCTATGGGAGCCATTTTCTTTCAAATCGCCATGAACAACAACAAGAAAACCCCAAACAAACTCTGTTTATACTCCCTTCTTGGATACTCATTGATCGTTAAATATATTAAAATTTCAGAAAAAGCACTGCAGTAATTGATTATTTTATTCTCAATTCAGCTGACCAATTAATACCCCTTTCTTAGTTACTTTTCAACTGCTGTGGCAAAGCTCTGTAACCAAGGCAAGTTTAACTTGGGGCATATGGTTCCAGAAGCTTTGAGTCCATGACTATCATATTGGGGGGCATGGCAGCAGGCAGAAATGTATTTCACTGGAGCAATAGCTGAGAGCTTAAAGCCTGAGCTATAATCATAAGCAAGACAGAGAAAGCAGCATTAGAAATGGTGCTGAGATTTTGAAATCTCAAAGCCCATTCCCAGTGACATGCCTATTCCACCAAGGCCACACCTAATCCTTCCCAAACAGATCCACCAACTGGAAACCAAACTATATGAGCCTAGGTGGGCCATCACTTCCATTGAAACCACTACTACTCCTCAAGTCCTTTATCACATGCTGTGCCTGCCAATGACCCTGAAGCTATTGTTTCTTTAAAAATATGAATAGTCTTTAAATAATTAACAGGGTAACATGGAGACACGACGATGTTAAGGTTTGCAAACTAGAAAACTGATCAGATATCATTCAGTTTAGAAAAAATTCAGAGTATTCTGTAGTCTATTTCTGTTGTAATATATATCTCATACATACATGTAACCTGTATGTTGCATTGTGATCTGGAGAGAATTAAAGCTATTTTATCATATGGTAGAGGATGAAACCTTTATGACTTCATCACTCCTCAAAAGCCCCATACCTTGATAATATCCCATTAGGCTACAGATTCCAATGTAAATTTTGCAGAGACACAAACATTCAAACCATATCATGGGAAATTGAGATATCAGGCAGATGGGTAAAGAAATAGAGGAAGCTAAAAATATTACATTTTTAGATTTGTTAAGTAGGCATTCATATTGAGATAGCTGTTAGGAAGTTGGGAAAGAAGATCTGGTACTTAAGAGAGCAGCAGCTGAAGACTGAATATAAAAATCTCTCTCTGTGTAGGTCATTAATGTACTAAAATTGTGGGATTCATGTCTTTGCCCAAAAACACTCATTTATCATGTAAGGTATAAGGAGAAAAAGCTACACTAGTTCAGATATAGAAGTTCATATGTGACATACGTAATTTGTATGTCCTTCACTGAAGTTGGGACTATAAAACATAAGAATATTGTATGGATGTTACTTTAAATAGAAGCTAGTTTGCTACTTTGAAATTAATAGGAAAATATCACATCAGATTTGGCAGTCAGGGATGTATTCTCAGGAATTTTAAAGTGTTTGGTAAATTTTGAAAGATTGCTATTTGCTAATACAAGAAAGAAGTAACATTCTGTCTAGTTATGTGTACCTGATGCTATGTAACATGAAAACGATCATGGAGTGTTCAAGTGTAATCTGAGGATTAGGGGTTCTTAGAGATGACACTAGATATTGATGAACATTGAACTTTAAATGAATTGAATTTTAAATAAAATTACATTTTTCTTCCCTTTCCTCACTCCCAGACCTCCCATGAAAATCCTTCCTTATTATTTTTCAAATTCATGACCCCCTTTTGAAATTGTTGTTTAAGTGTATGTGTGTGTGTGTGTGTGTGTGTGTGTGTGTGTGTATGCACTCACAGATGCACATGTGTACATGTCCATATCAGTGTCTATGAGTATTGCAAAATACATAAATACTGCTTGGTCTGTGTAATGTTGCTTGTATGTATATTTTCAGGGCTGACTATTTGATAATGCATAGCCAATTGCTGTGATCTTTCCTGGGGAAGAATATTTCTGCCACTCTCAGCATCCCTTGGTTGCCTGTAGTTCTTTGTCTAGGGTTAAGACTTCATGAGCTTTCTTCCTTCCATGTTAGCATGTTTACTGGTGTCGTCCTTCATGGTCAAGCAGTCATGTTGGTAAGACTTTATAGGTGTAGCTTCTGACATTACATGGAATCACAGCCTCACAGCAAATTTTCCAGTCCTCTGGCTTTTACAATCTTTATGTCCCTTCTTCTACAATGATCACAAAACATTAGGTAGGGTCATTGTTTAGCAGATAAGTTGAGACTAGGCTCTGTAACTCACATTTTTAGTAGTTGTGGTTTTCTGTAATGGCCTCCTTTTGTTGTAAAGAGAAGTTTCCTTGATGAGGTGTGGATGAAAAGAATAAATAAGAGCTTCTGGAAAGACGTGTCCTTAAGATGAGACGTTAGCAAGGAAGGCAAAGGACCCATTGGAGAATATTGTGAAATAACAACTTATCTGAGGGAAAGTCTTGAGATATTTGGTATATAATAGTTTATGACCTGGTTTGAGGAAAGATAATAGATCTGTGAATATTGGGATAAAATATTAAGAGTGAGGAAATTAGTTGTGAGGGTCTGGTAGTGAAGATGAGTAGCTCATTACAGCCATAGTCTCTTTGGGGATGTATTTCACTTTGGCAGCTAATTTGTACACATGAGGTTAGGAGTATGGCACATGATGAGGGAGTGAAGAATCTGGGAGAGTCCAGTTACAGTGATCTTCCAGGGAAACCTTTCTGTATATTCTGGAAGTCAGAGTCCTTTGACTAGTAGCCTTTTTATGTGCCCTGGCAGGTAGCACTGATTGGAGAACTGATATGTGAATTAAAATTGAGATTCATTTGTCAAAGTTCTTATCTCAAAAATCATACATTAGGTTGTACCTTGGATCCATTTCATTTCTTGAACATATTTCTGGTATCCACTTTAGGGTGACTGGAAGTGTGATCAAAGGTATCAGTGGCGTTAATTTCAGAATTTGATTAGAGCTTGTGAGATTTAGAAAGAGAAAATCTTATAGTACTTGTACTCTACTCAGGCTGACAAATTTGGTTGCATTTTCTCCTGAAAATGGTCTATCTATCTATCTATCTATCTATCTATCTATCTATCTATCTATCTGAGAACATGCTAAACATTTCCTTGAATTTGATCCAAAGATATAAACTTTTAAAAATACTGTGACAATTATCATATAAAATAGCTTTAGCAAATATGTTCTTTATGCTCAACGTTTTTCTTAATAGAGTAAAATAAGGAAACACATGAACTCAATTTCTCTCCAAGTTTATAGATTGTACAGTACTGATTAACCAATTCCAATTGTCATTCTTCCAACAACTTATGACTCTGGATTATTATAAATTAGAATTTTGAATGATATATTATCAAATTTAATGAGTTTCAGAAATTAGAGATCATGAAGAATCACTTGAAGTTAGTTTTTGTAGTACATATTAAATGCCACTCTATAGTTATCATAAAGCATATAATGTAAATGTCTTTATGCCCTTCTTTGGGAATAACGACATATAGCTTTACTTTTGGATTAGTTACAATTTTCAATTGAACTTTGTGAGATTTAATATTCACATATGACAAATATATTTAGGATTGATACTAGGTTTTTAATTAGTCTGAAAGGAAGTGTGTGTGTATGTGTGTGTATGTGCATGTGTGTGTG